TTGTTACCTTCGGCACAAGTGGTTTTTCAGTATTAGCTACTAGATAATGATGTGCATTACCGATATCAACTTTCATTTAAATGATTAATCAAATGTTATGGTTAATTTGATTTATACATACATAATAATGTATTTAATAGGTAGACACATTTTTTCATACTTTCGTTATTAAATTTGACATTTAAATAGGTGTTATTTAATTTTTCTAAAAGATTCGAAATATTTTGCTATCACGGAAAGTCTATTCAAGAACAATATATTTCTATGAATGTTTATAACCAACTGAGTTCATTATTACAATTATTATATTTATTATAATGTTTAAGATAGATTTCTTCGAATTTCCTAATTTCTTTCAGTTACGTGCTGAAGATATTTCGTTTGTTACTGAAAACTTATTTCAAACCATAAAATACCTAAAAATTACATTGTTTAAATATAATGTGTTTATGAAATTGTAAAAATTTAATTTCATAAGCCTTTATTTCACCCAATTTATGTTTTATTCCCATTTGAGTAGTTATTTGTCACTGTCGGTTATTATTGTCGTCTTAAATATTTAAGCAAAGAATCCTTAAGTCCATTACCACTTTCATGATAGTCTTACGTACGTTCAATCATGATAACATTTTTGAATTGATTTAAGTTGTCCTTCCACTTAAAGGATCAGTCTAAAAGGATTTTCACACGAGATTAAAACCATAATATACAGGATAAAGCACTTAACACGGGCAATCTGAATGTTTTATCTATTTTTATATGCAGAAAAGAAGATGTTAACTTAATGTTACTTCCTAGTCAGCTGGACGTTACAATTTATTTTATCCTATGCAAACGTATGAAAATACCCTGAAGTTATTAATTATTATTAGTCGAAAGAAAAGGAAACTGTTTTACTTATTCGCTAATATATTACTCATTTCGCAGGTCACTTTTAAACAGATTTATTTACAGTAGACATTCGTTTCACGCGCCACCGTTATCTGCACGGAAGCCACGCCCCTTTCTCACACGTATTTCTCACACACGTGCGCGTACCCTACTCTGTCGTTTAGCACGCCCAGGCCGGAACACATACGGTGTCGCGTTTAACTCGCATATCTCATCACGGAAAACGCAGTGTATATAAATACTGTTTTAATAATGTTTTTATTGGTGAAATGAATATTGGTGGAATGAATATTGGTGGCAATTTGATTGCTTCTTGTCTTGCAGATCACACGTAATGGGTCAAAGATACTAACCAAGCTAGACAATTGCCACTAAAATATGTCACGCATTATTACCTTTTTCACATAATACCTTAAAACTTTATTACGCAGAATGTTTTGGAAGAATCGATTTATGTAAAAAAAGTATTTTATTCCATAATATTTTAATATCATTAATAAAAATAACATAATCAATTTTGAAAACTGAGAAGATACTCCATCTACGAAAAACTTGTTACTGCTAAGTAATAGCCCTCTTCATACTGAACAACTTCTGATATCTCTAAAAATAACGGAGATAATTAATGTAACCGTAAAGTGCACATATCCAGCCCACTGAATGGTGGGGAAAGCGCTCGGGTAAGTGGCGTCTACTTCCTGCACGGTTTCTGGGATTCTGGCCCGCTACAGCCCTGACTAGTGCGGGAAACGAATGTCTACTGTACAAAGCTATATTATAAAATTTTAAATGTAATATTCTGTGTCCCAATGAATGCTTCATTATTTTCTTTGTAACATGGAATTTGACAATACAGTAGACTCTAACTTTAATGCCACTGAAAATAATGCCACATGAGTGGCAATTCCCCTTCACACGTACTTTTGCGCATACACATTCGCTCTCCCACTTCGTTGCGTACGCCAGCGCACCAGCACGATCCAGGGTTTGCGCAGGCGCTGTGGCCGACACCATGGCGACAGAACTTAGCATGGAGGGGGCTCTAAATTCATTGCCATTTTACTCTCCTACAGCCCCGAAAGTGGCATTAAAGTGACAGTCTACTGTATATGGTAAAAAATTTCGAAACACTCAATGATTTTAGGAAATTGAAAATTTTCTCCTCAAGCAAATGATTGAAAAATTTTACACGTAAAAGGGAAGAGTTAATAATTGAAAAATATAATACTATTGGTTGAATGCATTAATTAGAAACAGAATGATACTATAGAAAAATATATAATTGCAGCAAAAATTTAGAAGTGATTGCAAACGTTTTACCTGTAATTTGTTTTAAATTAAACATATTATTCAGCAACTTATGTCGAATAAAAAGATTCAGATGACACTTGAATACACAACCAAGTATTTTTTATCTATCCTTCATTTTCTGGTAACAAATCTTAAATTTCCTTCTGGAAAAAAGAAAAGGCAATACTCATAGCTACAATACTAATTGATATAATTAAACTGTTTAAAAATCATTCTCTTTGATTTATTAAAAACGTCTCCCAAAACTTATCAATGAAATGGTAGAAATAAAGTTGAACAAAACGACGTATCAAATTCTGCATGAAATATTAGCTACCGTCTGCATTATGCTTTAATTATAATGCGGCAAGTATATTTTAAAAATGAGCAACTTAAATAACAGAATTGTGCCGACAATAGCCAGCCTTTATTAGATTTCACGAGTCAGATGGGAAGCGTTGATCGTTACCAACAATTTATATAGAGACGTATTAACGTTCGCAATTCAATCGTCGATAAATTGATCGAACTGCATTGAACTAGTAATTTGCACTGTTTAATTTATACAGGACACGTAGTCATTCCTATGTTGCGTCGCACAAACACAAATCCTTACAGCTCATTGGATACTTGTTTCTCGAGTTTGCGAATTATCAATTATTGGATTAGTTGCCGTGCATACTGCGTTAAAGATCGATTTATTTCGTTTTGATTTATCAACCAATTTACTGATTGCCTCGCGAGTACCCGTGTAATTACTCGTTGATTACAATTTTGTAAAGTAGCGAATAAATCGGCCGTCCGTTATTTTACTTGTGTAGCTGTTCACGCAGTAATAAATTAAACTTCAGACTTCGATGGTATATCGAACCAAGTGATCATTTGAATTTGAAACTCATTGGTACGCAAATTTCTGGGAATTTTGTAGTAAAACCGAAAGAAATTAAACAGAGAATTAATAGAGGGAAATAATGAAATATAGTTGCGTAATTTCTAATACATTCTCGCAGCTGGTACTCAAATTTGTAGTGTAAATACGAAGTTCATGCGAATGGAATATTTGTATTACTTGATCCATAGGCTTGAGTTAAGCCTAGGGTCCTTTCAATAAATATGTACAAAAATATATAACTTGAATATTAAATGAAATTTTATGCTTAAAACAAAGTTTTAAGTAATTATTCATTACAACTTTCTGCATGGTTTAAATAAAGAAGAATGTTTTAAAGAAATGTCTGGAGCATTTAGCGAGAATTTTCCTTCCATCAACATACAATTCTAACGAGAAGTTTTCGTTTTCGACGACGAACCGTACAGAGGACACCCGGCAGATCTTGCTACTCCAGAAAATGTTGATGCTGTTCAGAATGCAATTATAAATCACGTATAAGCGATTAGAATGAATAAGAAAATCATTTAGGGGCAATTAGAGGAGACTCTCTACAAGCCTGCAACAACACTGCATCTAATTGTTTCTGAGTACGTATCAGTAAGGAAGCTTCATACATTGTACGTCATACCATCAGTGACCAACGATGGAAACGTGTCAAGTGGCTGAAAAAAAAAGCTAAAAGAATTTACATCTAGAACTGTTAAGGAGGTATTTAATAAATAGTCATCCACATGTCACGTCTTCTGAGAGTTGTCATGGCAAAAGGTTTCAACTGTGATTTTTCACAGTAAACTGGCGTGTTAGTTACAGGGCTTAGGGTGTATGTATACCTGAAAATGGTCGGGCTATTCAATGGTCTAAAGGAAATTTGTCTACCTTTTCTAACAGGACTGTACAACAAAAATTGTGCATTGGAATGGTAATGGTATAAACGATTTTCTGTACTTAAATTAGGTTACGTTTATTCCACGTATTTTTGTATGATTAATACGCATTGTATTGATCAATACGCATTATGACCAAATTCTATTTTTCGTTCTTACTGTAGAAAATACAGAAATATTTCTGCCTACAATAAATATATAAGATAACAAACTGTCACTCAAAATTCAGATATTTAATAAATGATATTCTGTTTCGTGTATTGTGTAAGTAGTAATTACCGTAATTTAAATGGAATTCAGTAGACAACATTTATCAGGATTCGTTTTATTAAACACATATTTTATTTAAATTTCCTCAAACATCACGTAGTGAAAATTATCAAGAAGCAACATGAACAATATCAGAAATTGCGTATGTAAATTTTTTACTGTCGGATGCGAAAGCTTTTACACTCGCGGAATACACAACTGATGTTCAAAATGGCGGAACGCGATAAAACAGGGCTGTGCGTACGCGCGTTGATGAGATATTGTTTGCGGTAAACACAACAGCAGTTACATTCGAACGTACGAAGTAAAGTTGTTCCAAACCAAACAAGCGAACTTTATTCCACTAAAATGCGAAAAAACATGCATATTTATTAATCTCAGTAATTCCGTTCCAAGAAGACCCGTTTGTAACGGGTCACCGATAGAGTAAATTCCATTTGCACACTCCCGTTGATTAGACTCAAACGGTCCTAATGAAGCGAACTCTTCCGGGTAAAACAGAGTCTATCGATCCGGAACGCTTCTTAAACGCTCGAAAGGTTCTCCATCGGATTCAATAACTCCACGGCGTCTGCCCGATAATCCCCATAAGATTCGATTAGTTGAATTTCCCGCGCCCCCCGATTACCATCCAATTAATGTCCGGCAAACATAATTCCCCGGTAGATTCTTATCCGGGCGGCGCGACGGTAAAGCGATTAATCGAGCATAGGCAGAGCAGTAGCCTCGTGGCGGTTACTGTCTGCGAGAGGGTGGGGGTGGGCGGTACCTACCCCGTCCAGAGGACAAATTCGATTCCTTCGCCGCGATGCGATCTCATTGCCCTTGCCGCTGATTCGATCAAGGACCACGGTGATTCGCAGCTATAGTCGCCGAACTTTCCCAGCATCTTTCTGTCCAACCTGCTTCTACTGCTGTCGTCGCTGTTCCTCGTGTTCCAGCACACTGAAAATACGGGGTAAACGAGCACGGCTGAGCTAGGTGAACGACCACATACGAGCGATGGCTGGCAACGGATAGGGTAAGGAAACACAAAAGGAACAGGACTGGAGGGAACGTAGCAGAGGTTGCGGGGAAGCAAGTGACCTTTAAGAGAGAAAGCGTGCCGGACGGTCACGTACTGCCTCGCTAACGTCCAAATGACACGGAGTCAGGGGGCTGGGTGATCCTGGAATGGGGGACGCAATTTGAGGTACCGTTATTTCATGCAAACCTCGTGCCAGCCAGACACGCCAGGTACTTTAAAACGATCGGTAAATACCGGCGGGAACGAGCAGGATATAGGCTCGATGCAGAGAACACACCAGAGGCCGAATATAAAAGAGCCTTCTGGATTAGGGGGGAGCTACTGGTCCGAGAATGCAAGGAAAAGGGAACACACGAGCGTTTGGTGCGTGCATGCAAGGGAGGTGAACTGTCGTACAGGACGGAACTACTTACTGCTGCCTGCGTTACCCTGGGTGGGATACTTCGGATCATAGTGGATGTCGGTGATGTGCCAGAAATACCCTGGAAGCAGAGAAACGAGGTCGTACCTTCTGCGTTTCGGCTTTTATTTGCATCCGCGCGCGCGTTGCATTTGCATTCTCTGTTTCTTTCCCTACGGTTACCCTGTAAACTGATGTAATGTCGCTCCCGGATGGATGTGGGAGTAGGTTGGATTGGAGAGGGGGCGGCGGTTGGTGAGGCGAGCACATTGTCTATGCAATCACGAAACGAAACAAGGTGTATGCCCCCCCTCCTCGTGGAAACGGAAGCAAGGGGCACCCGAATAAAGCCGATCCCCTTGGAAGTGGAAATTTCCAGGAGACCGAGTTGAATTTGAAATGTATTCGATTTCTTTATGTAACCCGGATTGTTTTAAATTAACCGGAGAGTCCGTTGCCGTGGGAGGCTGAACAAGGCGGTCGCCACTTTACAAGGTAATTAGAACGGGGCTCGATCCGATACGGCGTTTAAATTTATCAAAACAAATGGAAACCGTAACGGAATACGAATGCGAAACGAACACGCGACCCTTGATTGTTTTATTCGACGAGATTTCATCGGTATTTACCTCTTAACTGGACTCTGATGCTCCTTCCAACGTTTTCATTTATTTCCATTCCAATTTTCATTCCGAAATTTTAAAGACGACATAAGATAAATGTCCCAGTGGTTGGACGTTTAAAACGAAGATTGCGGTTACGAATACTTTAATATATATATATATTAAAATAATATAGATTGGCAAAAAAGTACACTCAATCGATAGAGCAGAACTTCTTCTTCCAGACAAGTCGTTAGAAGAAAGAGTTTACGTGAAAAAAAGTATTAAAATTTATGAATATCTAATAGCGTTCATTTGGCCGAGTGATTGGACGGAATTTACAGCTTGTCCTAGTGATTAAATTTAGCTGTCCCAGTGTATGGACATAACATTCAATATATTATTCATAGCTGATTTGTAATTGTAAAACATGATATTTTTCTTTTATGTTGTAAAAATTCAAATAAAAACGTAACAAATTTAATTTAATGCAATAAATAAAAAAATTATAAAGAAATAAAATAATAAAAGTTATGAACTAAATCTATAAATGTATACATTATAAATTAATAAATAAATAACACTAAGGGAAAATTGCATTCTATTATTATATATATGTTATATATTTGGTAAAAGTTTTTAAACATTCATGGAAATTGAAAGAAAACGTTTTTATTAAAACAAAATTGGTATCAATTCTGAAGACATTAATAAGTTCAAGAAACCTTTACTTATTAGAACCACACGAATTATTTATTATTTACGAGCTTAAGAAATGCGCTCTCAATGTTAACGAAACATTTACGAAGACATTCATGTTGCCTCAAGTTCATGATTGCTAAATGATAATATTTTTTTAAAATAATACATCGCGCTTTTGCAAACATTTTTACATGATTTATGATAAGAAATAACTAAAGATAATTGTTATCTATCCAGAAGTTTGCTATTATTGAAAAACAATTTCATATTAACATAATTCATGATAGTGTCCAATCACTGGGACATTTACCTTAGTGAGTTGAGTTATAAGAAAGTTTTACAGTAAACATTCAAGAATTAGTAATTAGTGTGTGAATGTTATTGGTAACAAATGTAGGTATTTCAACTGAATGACAATCATTGTGGTTTTTAATCACTGAGAATGTGTATTTGGTTGCTGTCAATTATAAAATGTCTTACAAGGAAGGTTTCCCAACCCCCAGGCCTCGATTTTCTTGAAACTTTGTGGGATTGTAGAGGGCATCGAGTTATGCAAGGAACAATTTTTTTATCGGCCGACTTTCGCCTTAAAAGGGTGATATCACCCTTTAAAGTTTACTAAATTTTTCGTTTTATCAGTATATTGTATTAGCCGTAAGATATAGGAAAAAAATTTGAATGGGGAAACTGAATGATATTAAGAGACCTAACAAACTGCAAAAGAAAAGAAAATATACATATATGTTCAGGATTGGCTGGGCCGCGGCATGTCATGCGCGGCGAGCTCGTACCGCGCGTCTCGTCGTGAAATTCGACAATTGTGCCAAATTCGGCAATCGTCGCCGGAGACGAAGAGTTACGTCGCGGGCAATCATAGTGTCGACACCTGTGAGTCGCCTCGCATAGTTACAACGCCGTCCTTCTCTAGCCCCTACCAGGTCTTTGTCTGGCAGTGCGCGCTCTCTCTCTTTCTCTCTAAAAGGACCGTTGCTGTGCGAGGTGCCTACGTGACCGCTAGCACAGTTTTTATGCTATTAACTGTCGAATCGCCCGCGACGAGCCTTTGTCTCTGTCTATTCGTTACGAACCTTCGACTGACCGTGCGAACTAGCAAAAGGGTGCTCCCTGCAATATACTACAATTAGACTACCGGGTTAATACTTGTTACTTTCTCTATTATTCGGTGCTCCGAAGTGTAATTCTATCTAATCGTTATCATTTCGTTATATTTATTAAAGTGTGTACAGTTTGTGACAATAAACTATTCATTGTTTGTTACAAAATCAAGAAGGTGCTCCTTCGACTTTCTTTCTTCGAGTCTAGTCTCGAACAATATATGTATATACATACATATACATGTGTATATGAAATACATACGTGGACCTCACGATTATTGACTGATTGTTGATCCACGATTATTGTCCAGGCGTCATTCCACCACTGAGGAGGGTGGCGGGGCAGGCCGTAGAACCCGGCAAGCGCATACTTTGTTGCCCCGGCGCGCCGAGGCGGCTTTCCATTCACGAGCCAACGTACTGAACGTTGGGTGTTTACAAAAAGATTACATTCTCGGGTGTCGGTGAGACAATACTAATGCAACGATAAAACCTTTTTATGTTTGGTTCTTTGTTAACGAATCTTTTACGAACATATTCGTGAAATTTTTCTGATTAAAATGATACCAAAGACGATATAATCTGGACCATATTTACTTATGATTTATCAGAAGCGATAATGAACAAATATGGATTGTTAACATTTTCTACATGAGTAAATATGATCCAAATTATGTCGTATTTGATATCATTTTAATCAGAAAAATCTCACCAATATACTAGTAAAAGTTTCATTAATAACGAATTAAAAATAAAAAAGATTCATCGTTGCATTAGCGTTGTCTCGCCGATACCCAGGAATGTAATCTTTTTTTGGCTCCGGAATGGGAAGCCGTCTCGACACTTCGGGCAACAATATATGCGCTCGATGGACACGACGGACGGAGCGAGGAAATATACGACGATTAGTCGAAGCGTTCAATCGTCAGCGACTGCCCAGAGAGATGCTAACGAATTAAATGTAGCTATGTAGATCATCTCCAGTCACACGTATTTTTATTATTGGCCGAAATGGTACACACACAATCGGACTGTATGGTCGGCTATATGTAATATTGAATGGTCGGCGAGAGCGTCGCAGTCGGGCCACGCAGTCGAGTCGAGTGAAAACAGAAGCTTTCTCTCTGTTTTTCAATCGCTTGTCCTTTTCTATGTTCATAATACTACAAAGGCGAGTTGCCGAGGCTCGAGCTTCGGGCAAAAAACGTATTCACGAGGGTCAGAAGCGTTTCGCGTAGTCCACGATTATTGTCCCGACGCGGACCCGAGTTCGGGACAATAATCGCGAGGCCCCTGTACTGTATACCTATGTATAAACAACAAACACATGCGACATACCTATTTTAAATGACTTATTTCACGGATTTATTCAACAAATCAATTTACATTGAATACATATTTTATTTTTTTTACGAATATTTGTATCGAAGGTATTATTACCCTTGTATGTATACATTTTTAAGTTTTTCAATGCAGCGGGTAAGCCGTGCAAGCTAGCACAGTGGTCAGTCGACAAGAAATGTAGCATTTTATATGATTTATTTAATCATTGATAATAGTTTTAAAAAAATCTTCCATATTATCAATAATTCGTATATACAACGTCGCTACTTACAAAGCACAACTTTCAGTTACACGTACCTTCAAATAAGAATACTTATACAGCGACAAGTCTATCAATTTATTGTTAGAGTAGGATTATCACTAGAGGTCTCGGGTCTCGTATCATGATAATAAAACTGTTTAAAAAAATGTTCGTGACATGATAAGTTATGTACCAAGATGAACGAATTAATGCAAAAACGCTGCAAACAAAGCAGGGAGATTGAAATGCGAATTCTTGGATTGCAAAAGCAAAGTCTATTGAATGCTCAAAGTAACATGGTGTTTCTTCTGTGTATCCGCTTTTCTACCATACATATGCAAATGAATTCACATAGGTACTTCCGAAAAGACAATTGGTTGTGAATGAGAGATTGTAATTATATTATATTATTGCGTGAATATAAATTCAGGTCATTGTTTGAAAGAAGAACAAGATCAGAAAATCTTCTTACGAATTGTTTTCATATCCGAAAGCCCTATACGTCAAGTGGTTGTATTATTTCTGTAGTCTTCTTAGGGATAGTAAATATTTGTATGTCTTTGCTAGGTGGCACGTTTCTCTGTAATGTATTAGATTGTCAACTTTCAAGATGATGACGCTGTGGGGTATATATATTTTGGTTGAAATAGAGTTTGTTGAACTTGTGGTCTGAAATTTCCGTTAGATTCTTTGAATGTTATAAGCAAAGGAGATACAAGTCTCCCACTTGCGGATATTAATGGCAGAATGGTGTAACTATGATTTGTTGCAAATATAGATTGAAGAAGGCTAGTACTGCCTTTGTACCTTCAATGGGTAACGTATGCCCAGAATGCAACTCAATGTTGAAGCCACTCTCATCCGGGTTAAATACGTTGTGTAATCCATAATCTGTTATTATAGGTTTAAGTCCATCTATAAAACGTGTGGCACATTGTTTTATATCTGCGGTGTCTGTGCCATATAAACGGCTAATAAATTTATTTATTTTATGGGATACAATTTTGTGTGCTCTTTTAAAATTCCTAGTAAGTTAAATTTACTTGCATAGCTTACCCGCTACATTGAAAAACTTAAAGATGTACACAAGGGAAATAATACCCCCGATACAAATATTCGTAAAAAAACAAAATATGTAGGATTCAATGTAAATTGGTTTGTTGAATAAATCTGTGAAATAAGTAATTTAAAATAAGTATGTCACATCTGTTTGTTGTTTATACATGTACTTAGGTATATATAATATGTATACGTGTAGATATATTTTTTTCTGTTGCAGTTATTTAGGTTTTTTAATATCATTCAGTTTCCCCATTAAAAGTTTTTTTTTCTATATCTTACGGTTAATAAAATATACTGAAAAAACGAAAAATTCGGTAAACTTTAAGGGGTGATTTCACCATTTTAGAATGAATGTCAGCCGAAAAGAAAATGTTCCTTGCATAAATATAACTCCCTCTACAATCCCACAAAGTTTCATCAGAATCTGCGGGTTGGGACACCTTCCGTGTCAGCGGGCGTGTGCACGATATTGTATATGTAATAAAAATCTGCGAAACTATAGAAGGCTATTTCATAAATATATATATATCAATGGATTCGGAATTAAATGCTCGTCACTATTTGTCATGATGTAAATTTGAACAAGTTGTAAAATCAAGTTATAAAAAACTGGTTTGTTTATAAACAAATTGTGTTTTGGACAATTTGTTAGCACCATATTCTTGTACATAAAAAAACTATGGCACTCGTCCATTAAAAATTTCTTCCTATCTCTTACGGTTAACAAGATATATCTACTGAAACCACGAATAATTCGGCAAGCTTTAAGGGATAATTTCACCCCTTTAACGGAAGAGTCGTCCAATAAAAAAATTGTTTCTTGCATAACTCGATTCCCTCTACAATCCCATAAAGTTACAAGAAAATTGGGACCAGCGGGTTGGGAAACCTTTCTTGTTAGTACACTCAGTATGCTGCATCGAATTGATTTTATGAGTAATTTTCAGATTATTTTCCGATTTCAACGAAAAATGAGTTAATTGACAGGTGAATAAGTCACGAGTACTTTAAATTGATAAATTAAGTATTTTTACAGGTAAAGTGACGCGACTTGTCTATTTTTCGAAATTACGTGAACGTGTCAAATAATTGTTCAATATTTGAATGATTATTCACTAATGCAAATATTCATATACTTCATGTTCTGAAATATTTATCCACATATAGTTCCATTAGGACTGTAATACTTGGATACATATAATTTCAACTAATTACAACAAGACCTTATCCAAACAAATTGAACTACATGGAGTTACTTGAGATATTTAAATAACATATTTTGAACCAAAATTGTCAAATACATGATACGTTGAAAGCAACACTCGAAGTATTCGTCGATCTGAATTTCTAATTGGTTAAAATTCCTTTTACCACACCCAATGAAATATTCAATTATTCGAATAACTTAAGGAAATTCTGCTTTCAACCGCTCCGAGTTTCTCGAACAGATTCAGCGCTATAAACCTTCTTACAGTATTTGAACAACATACAAAGCAACGAGTTCGGAAAGTTTGTTTTAACGTGTTCACACTCCTAACAATTTCCCGCAAAATGAAACATTTCGAAACGAGCCACGATCAAACCTTCCAGTTTTTTTTTACCTTAAAGTTACAACCGAAGGGAACTTCACCACTGTTCAAATAAACTTATGAAATTGGGCCAAAGTATTACCGTCGTTTCAGCCATATGATTAGAACGCTTACGTAGTACTTGCTTCGCGGCGGCTTGTTAACCCCATCCATAATTAACCGCATAGGGAAAAGTTAACGTACGACTGTCGAATAAATTCTCAAGCGGCCGCGCTCAAAGAACATCGACCCACATTCGACAAAACTTTGCCCCGTTTTAATAATTGACTACGGGGCTCGGTATATGCTCTGCATAAGCAACGTCATACATTACGGACGTACTGCATACACACACTTGCCTGATGCCGCAATGATTCTCACCACCCACGACATGATGGCATATGGCCGTGTAATGGCGTCCTAACGGCAAGAATCATTAGAGCATTGTGTGCAATGCCTCTCAATGAATCGTGTTGCTACTATGACTGATTAATTCTTATTAACCTGCAGATTTTTATAAAGAATGACATTGTACAAAGTAGGCTACATAAAGACAAACATAAAATTAGAAACTACTTCCTTCCCTTCAGTACATTCTTGGATTTGGAATAAAATATAAAACTCGTTGCATCCGATGAAAGTTTTGTCTTTTGTTGTATTTCACAGTGCTCGATAGGCTATAAACGCATGAAACCCGCAATTTATACGTTATATTTTACGTATACATAGAGTGATATGAACAAAAGGATCACCAAAATCTGGGGTTGCATAGTAAAAATTAACAAGAGTCCTATTATCGTAGAGCAGTAAGTTAATTTTGAAGGTGATATAAGAAGGTTTTATAATAAAACTTTAACTGACATTCAACTTATCGGTATTTCAATGATATTATCGATAACATTCCGCTGTTCTGATATTTATCGATGGCGTTATCATTAACAGCAACTCTAGTACGGACATGGGATGACCAGAAATCAACCAGCTCTAGAACAATAAGGCATAAAGCAATACCATTTTCATGTCAGCCTACTTTAGTTCAGTATAGTACTGCTACTAGTGATCCTATTATCAGATCCTCGATGAATACTTTAGTATTGAACAACGTTTCGAAGAAGAAAGACGTAGATACATGACGTCGTGCAGAACTTACTGTTCTAAGACTAGCTTGGTCTTCGATGACCCAATAACCGTGCCGAAGATATTAACCTAATTGATGTTGACGTTACTCTATTAGACATGACTTTTATGTGCAAACTTATGCAAATTCTTCTTATCTTTTTCTCAAAAGACAATTAGAAACTAAATGTGAAACATCACTTTGACAATGTATCTCCATACGCGCATCCAATAACTCCTTATAAAATAAGGGCCACCAGGTTGAAATAAGAGTTAAATTTACCTATTTTCCCTTGTACTGCGCACAGCCACGAGAGTAGCATCAGGTAGTCACGGATCATCATACCGGGAGTGGATCTGTAATCATATAATGTATGGTTAAAAACCAGTTTCGCTTAATCCTTAACTACAGGACAATTCGTCACAGAGACGAATGTGAATTTTTATACCAGTATCACAATCTAATGGAGAATTTTGGAAACTATAGCCGTTTGAGTGCCTACAATTGGGAATTTACAATAAGAAGGTGGCAGATCCATTTTTGACAGATTTTTAGTTATTACGCATAATATACCTAGCCCTCTTTTTTTTAGAACTTTCCCATCGCATTGGTGGTAAATAATTATGCATTCCTAATTTCTTGGGACATATAGAATAATGTCTCTTTAACACTAGAACTACCAAACCTGTCAAAATGACGGATTGCACTTTCCTTATTTTATGATTTCTGAAATTCTTATCGTGCTTTTGATGGAATTTACATAGGCTTTTAATTTACTATCCAATTTATACACTATAATATGCTAAGTATACTATACTTTAGCATATTATAGTGTATAAAATGGATAGTAAATTAAAAGCCATTATATACTTATAATATTATGTATACAGTGGACTCTAACTACAGAAATGTCTTGATAAGTGTGAGCCGGCTTGCCCACGATAAGTGTGAAGTCGTCATCCCCACCACTGGGGAAGGAGGCCGTGGAATCAGTCAAGCGTATAATTTTTTGCCCGCCGCGCCGCGGCGGCTTCCCTTTCACGAGCCAACGGCTAATCGAGGGGAACAAATGCAACGATGAAACTTTTTGTTTTTGGTTCCTTGTTAACGAAACTTTTACGAACATATTCGTGAAATTTTTCTGATTAAAATGATACCAAATACGATATAATTTCGACCATATTTACTTATAATTTATCAGAAGCGATAATGAACGAATATGGATTGTTAACATTTTCTACATGAGTAAATATGATCCAAATTATATCGTATTTCGTATCATTTTAATCAGAAAAATGCCACCAATATACTAGTAAAAGTTTCGTTAACAACGAATCAAAAATAAAAAAGTTTCATTGTTGCATTAGCGTTGTATTACGGATACCCGGGAATGTAATCTTTTCTTGAACTCCCTTCGTTCAGCTGTTGCGTCGACTCGTCGAAACGAGTCCCTTTCTTCTCACCAACTGGCACGACGGACTCGACGGACAGAACGGGGAAATGTATATGTATATGTACGACGCTACGTCGAAGCGATTAAGTGTCAGCAAATGTTTAGAGAGCTATCGATGTGACAATAGTAGCTGGATCACCTCCAGTCACACGTATTTTTATTATTGGCCGAAACGGTACACACACAAACGGACTATGACGAAGAGAAGGAACGAGACACATCGAGACCGAGTAAGATAACGCGAACCGCAGCAATTACAATGTAGCCATTGGTCTGTTGGGAGCATTGCAGGCGGGCTCACGCAGTCGAATCGAGTGGAAAGAGATACTTTCTCTTTCTGTTTTTAATTCGCTTGTCCTTTTCGATGTCGGAACACTATAAAGGCAAGCGGCTCGAACTTAGAGCAAAAAACTGATTGACGAGATGCTGACAACTGTCCACGGTCATTGTGAGTGTGACTCCGTACAACCGAGGCATTCACACTTATCAAGACATTTCTGCATATTGCCACTGAACATATTGCCACGAGAGGCACTTTCTTTTTACACGTACTTTCGAGCACACAAATTCGCTTTCCCACCACGTTGCGTACGCCGGCGCACCAGCACGGTCCAGGTTTTGCGCAGGGGCTGAGGCTGAGGATATGACGATAGAACTTAGCGTGGAGGGGGCTCTGAACTCATTGCCATTTTACTCCTCTACAGCCCTGACCATGGTAATATAGTTTGAGTCCACTGTATTACTATATTATATAATTTAATTGTGTATAATTCTATGCTGGCAGTTTTAGTGTTAATAGTTCAGGTATCGGAAGAATCATAAGTATGGCCAATTTTTACTATCCTTCTTTGACCAATTCTCCAAAAATTGAAATAAAGATTTATCAACTCAATAATTTCTCATTATTGTGTGAAAATATATACTTTCCAATTAGTATTTCAATTGTAAGTCAAAGCATTAATTGTATAAGCAGTTTTTTTTTAATTTCCTTGAAGTTGTTAAAAATGGATCTGCCCCCCGCTTGCTGCAAGGTACTCAATTTACAGAAAGTTACATACTGTTTCCAACACAGTAACGAAGAACAACATTCAGTTGGTCATGAAAAGTGTTACAAAGTAATCGTTGTTAGACTATTCGTCTTTGAAAGGAGTCGTTTTTAATTAAGGGTTAGCGGAGATCGTGCTGACGATCCAGGACAATGATAATCCCCGCGTTATCGAAATGGCGACACAGGCATTAACGTAATTTCGGGAAGCAAGGGAAACCATGACCGAACCGCGAATCTTATAAAATTTCATGAATCTTTCAGACTTTGCGGTCTGTTCTATTCACTGAACAACGCCCGCAACTGCGGCTTTCAATTTTAATTTTAAATTTAATTTCGATGGTCGACGTTGCGTCTTTGCACGGGGATCGTTACGTCCACGGCTCGCTAGCCGAGAAACGCGGCTCGTAAAACATTTTACAAGGTTCCGTCAGCTACAACGAGACATCGTAAAAACGTCAGTAAACCAATAACGTCGGTCCCAGATCGTTTGACAGCACAACAAAGAATTGACACAATTCACGAAGCGCATAAATAGATAATGCCGCACGACATCTTGGTAGCGACAGCGAAGTAAAATGGCGGAACACGCATTTTTCACGGAAGCACACATCATTGAGCACGCGTGATTCAAGTTTACGCGAAGAATTCATCTATACTTGGTGACGTTCACACCACAGGTTATGTGTGATTAAGGGGTCATGCTCAGTCAGGAGGCCGAAAAAAGAGTGTTCTTTAGGAATTTTTTTCTCCAAAACTACAAGACCTTTTTCAAAACATATGTTTGTGTTCCAAAGATTGCAGTTTCTAGATTATAAGGTAATTTTTTTATTTAAAAATATTTATTTGTAAATAAATGGTGAGCGATCTCCCAGATGTCTCTTCAGAAAAAGTGGTCTGCCGTGATCACTGTAACTTCGTAACGGTTCATTTGAAATTAAAACTTTAGTAAGATTTATGTAATGGAAGAACCAATCTTGTCCTTGAACGTGGGGTTTTTCGAAATATTGATTAGAAACAACATTTTCCTGAAAAAGTGCGATTTTCACCTAAAGAATCACTCGTTTTTGGTCAATTAAAAAAAAAGTATGGAAGTTTTTCTGATTTGAAATAAGGCGCAAAAGGCTTCATATAAATCGACACAGTAGTTTTCGAGAAATATTGATCACCGATTTGAAAAATGTAGTTTCGAGAAAAACGCGTTTAAAGTTTCAAGTCAAGCTTACACTTCTATAAAGTGTTCATCTTTCAAGGCCTGTAACTCTGTCATTTTTAATTGGATTATCTTGAAACTTGCACAGAATATTGTCGAGATGTTGTACATAAAGAAAATGTAGAAAGTGAAAAATTGATTTTTTGAAAATTTCTGACTGAGCATGACCCCTTAAGATGAGTCGGATGTTTGTGCATAAACTTTGAAGTCTATGCGCGTCTATTTGTTAATTTTTTGAATGTACAGTGGGTGTCAAAAGTATTCGTACACCCTTTTAAACGGAACAACTCTTTTAAAATTGGTCCAAATGACTTGAGTTTTTTTGGGAAGTTAGAGACATTAATTTACTAAATGATGTGAAAACAATTTGAAAAAGTTGCAATTGGTCCGAATTACGAAGAAAATATTAAAGGTCGTGTCTTACAACTTTTTAATCTGAGGCTATAATGAAAATGTAATAATTACATATCGAAGATTTATGTTAGTTATATATGTGTTGAAAATTTCATTAAAATCGGTTAACGTTGCTACGAGATACAAACGATTAAACATGTTGAAAATCGCAGTTTTTCCCGACATTCGATCTACAACTGTAGTAAATCTAACAATTCTCACATCTTTTGATGCCTGTCGCTCGTTTCTGTATTATCCAATTTCAATGAAAGTTTCAGTATGTACATAACTAACATAAATCTTCGATGCGTATTTATTAAATTTTCATTATAGCCTCAGATTAAAAAGTTGTAAAACACGACCTTTAATATATTCTTCGCGATTCGGATGAATTGCAACTTTTTCAAATTTTTTTTTCATATCATTTAGTAAATTAATGTCTCTAACTTTACAAAAAGCTCAAGTCATTTGGACCAATTTTAAAAGAGTTGTTCCGTTTTAAAGGGTGTACGAATACTTTTGACACTCACTGTATGTATACATATGAGTTATTAGTTTCGTATAGCACAGCACTTATTAATAACATATTTATAATGGGTAAAATAAACGAATTTGGGAATAGTCTTCAGTAAAGTGGCCATTATAAAGATCGTACATTTTGATAGAGTAGTAACAAACTGCAACGTACAAATTCTATCCGACTTTTCTTTGCCTAACAGGTAATTATTCCTTCTTTACTTTATTATTTAACAGTTCCTAACACGAAAAGCTTAAGTTTTCTTCAATTTTTATTAACAAAGACTTCCTAATTTGTTATTAATATTTATTTTATAAAGATAGCGGATATACATACGTAAGAATTTTAAAACCAGTGTGCACTACTAATTTAGTAAATGTATTCTTCAACAAATTCGTCTTCATAAATTTAGAATTAAAGTACACTTATTTAATCATGAAGACAGGTTTAAAGGAATCGTTACTGTACGATTGCTGTAATATTCCTGCTAAACAATATTAATTACGTATTTGAAAACATTTAACACTCCAGGTAGCTTTTCAGTTTAATAACTGTACACGTATCAATATTTAGACTTCAATGAATAGTGTATTCGCAGAGCGCATTAAACGTCCACTTTTAATGAATCAGGCTCTTATGATTTTATCTACGAGAGTAACCAACGGAGCCCTCGAAGTTTCGTGACTGCGTGCTGCCATTTTATTTCAAATTTTCACCCTCGATGGATTCTAACGT